ATGACCGGCATTTTGTTTTGTTCTCTCTCCGCGTTCATCACTAATCATGCAACACCGATGTCATCCATCATACGTCCTACGTCATCCGCCAGAACTACTTCCGTGTACCACAGTTAGTTGAAGTGAGAGAGAAGTGTTTATTACGTTTGAAATATGGATTTCAATTTACGCATTGATTCGCTACAGAAGGCCTTTGTTCACCCCCCGGAGCCGCGTGAGACACTTTTTTTTATAACTCCAATTGGATTCGTCTGAAAGAAGAAAGCCATATACACCCAGTAGGGCTGCACGATATATCGAAATATCGCAAATGTAAATATTGCAATATGCATATCGCAAGGGCGTGCGATATCTGAATCATTTTAATAATAGGCTACTTAAATCAAAACGTTGCAAAATGTCAAAGTTTTAGTTCGACGCATATAGCAGAGAATTGCTTGACCTTAAAAAAAGTGCAATAAGCTGCAGAAAACAACTATTTGCTGTCTCGTCTTGCTGTCTCACACCTGAAGCGCGTACACAAGCCGCATCTCACACAGCGTCTCTTCAGTTCTGCCGCACACGTGCAAAGCGCGCGCACACAGAGAGACGCGTTTCAGACCGAGTTGATTCGTCTTTCGCATCTCCTCCTTATGTTTGAACAGACACATACACAGAGAATTATGTCAATAGTACCCGTCTCGACGATCATTCTCGTAAACGCAGTCGGTTATGTTTTAAATGAATGTGTGCTGCTGAATATGTCACTATACGTGCTGCTGAATATGTCACTAATGTTAATCAAACAACAAAACAGCTATAACAAAGATTAATCTAAATTTAATTCATACAGTGAACACTATGCAGTGTTATTTTACACCTAATTATAAAATTTCTTTATCTGAATACTACCATTTATTTTATCTATGCTTGTAAATTGTGTATTTCTTTTTTTTTCTGACTGTTCACTTGCCTTTAATCATGTTTGAACTTTCTCAGACTATTGTTTTTGCTGTGGTATATGAAGAAGTACTTAAAGTGTATGGAAAGCAAAGTTACAATGATATAAAATTAGTGTCATTAATTTTTTTTGTTTGTATGTTCACACTGATGTTAAAATGACATTTTCTGATTTGTGACATTACTTTTTATGTAATGCTAAAACACTGCTGGTCACTTTCAGAAGTTGTAGTGATTCTTTATTTTCCAAGAAAGAATGTAAAACAAATTGGTTATATAATTTTCATTTTTAAATATTTTAAAATATAATGAAAAATTGATTTTACACACTTCAAGCAATATCGTATCGCATATCGAATATCACATTTTTAAACAAGGTATCGCATATAGCATTTTTCTTCAATATCGCACAGCCCTAACACCTTGTATGGCTTGAGGGTGAGTAAATAACAGGCTAAGTTTAATTTTTTTGGTGAACTAACCCTTTAATGCTGATTTTCAGTAATCGAAGAATCAATATTATTTTATTTACAAAATAAACTTTTCATTTTAATTTGAGTTCAATATTTAGTCATTTTGCTATGTGCTGTTTTTTTTTTTAGTAATAATTCTAAATAGTTCTAATAGTTAAGAGTCTAAATACTAATTTATTTTATTTCAGTTTTAGTTTTAAGTACTTTTTTAGTACTTCAGCTTAGTTACTTAGATGGTTAGCCAGTTAATTATTTCATTTATAACTTTGAGTTTTTCAGCTTATATTTATAGGCTACTTTACTTCCGATTTATTTTAGTTATTGATTAAAATATTAATATTTTATTACTATTTTAAGATATTTTAAGACATGTATTGTGAGAAGGTTACATTTAAGTGTCACACTTTACTTGCATTCACCCTATGGAGTGAAATATGAGTGTGCTCATTGTAGCTGAAGCACATTTGGTTGAAACCAATGTAGTAAGGAAATGCTGTGGAAGATTGGCCTGCATGCTGAGAAAATGTAGAGCAGTCACCATGGAGACAGCCATTCAGCCACTATTCTAGAACGTGAACTCCACAAGTGGTGTGATTGGCTTTCCTAGCTTGTGTGTATGTGGTGAGACAGACAGACCTGACAGCATGGTGGTGACATTACACAACCACAAGGCAAGCCTCAATGGCAAGTCTACATGCAACAAATAGCATGCTGCGCAAAGGAGAAGGTGATAATTACTGTAATACCAGAGAGATTACTACTAGTGATGCACCATGACACACTGTACAGTTTAACCTGCTTTAATATGTTAAAAATAATGTAAACTTGCTTGGTTGTGATAAAGACTACACATGATGATCTTTCCAGATCTTCACAAATCCACTTTTAAGCACACTTTCTCTGCAGTCCGTAAGTCCTTACAGGGATGCAAGGTCATACTGCACCCTAGGCCCTAAAACTACACTGTCCCTGTCACGACTCACAGCGCACAAAACGTGCTGAAACCAAATCAGAAATAAAGCCTTTCCCAGGGCTACAGAACGACAAACAGTAAGTTATAAAAACACAGGTCTAGATTACAATAGTATGAAAGCGCAATACAAAACAAAAGCAAATGCACACACATGCTTGCTGCAGGGAAACATCTGCGCTGCACATATAAACACCGAAACCCAAAATGTGTGCGAAACACGGCGTGCAAATAAACACCATTTAGCGTGCGAATGTGACATATAGTTTCGCTCGGTACATTCAGACATCATATAAACCCTATACCTGGCGCGTCACAGTCCTTGGTTTGTCCTACACACGGGGAATGCAGAAGGAGTCCTTCGCTACAAAGATGAATCACGTTTCGCACGTCATACTGCAATGCAAAACATTTGACATTTACCTGGTTGCAGCCTTCCGGCGAGAATCAGCTTGCCTTCATGTAAACAGCAGTGTTTTGTCGTGTTTACCCGGGTGCTCGTCCCCGGCAAGGACTCCGCCACAGCGGTGCTCCGCTGCTCGGGAGGGCGAGTCGACGGGGCGGTGCTGCTGCTGATAACGAGAGGGACTCTGGCGCGTGAGGTTTGTTTGAGAGCCTCGTGAGGGAAGACGAGCGTTGACATGAAAGCAGATGCGTAATATTACGACGATCTCCTTAAAGGGGACCCCGTATTTACATTTTAAAAGTAAAATCAACGTGGTTATAACCTGCATAATTTCACTGCACTTAGTTACTGAAGAAGAACTCAAGTGGGAAATGCCAAAGTCGATTAGAAATGATCGAGAAAAGTTAAATAGATAGAAGCAAGCAATAATGGAGGTAACCCTTAAAATAACCACCAGTCTAAAAATAATAAGCACACATTTTCCAGGCATTATACTCCCATGGGACTCTAGTTTGGTTTACGTCCGCCTAATCAGATATCATATATCCAACACTCTTCGGGCATCAGAGTAAAAGGAGAAACTCATGCGGTGTTATGATTTGCTGTTTCCGTTTAATTGTTTACATTTTCATTATTTGTTTAATTGTTGTCAACAATGTTCAGATAGACGCGCAACCGAACTGTCTTTTGACGCCCAATCACCAAAACGTCAACTATCAAACTTAAATATGTAAATATAAAAGATAAATCATGACATATTAAATATTTGTATCGAAAATCTAGAATATATATATATACACCAGTCTAAAAATAATAAGCACACATTTTCCAGGCATTATACTCCCATGGGACTCTAGTTTGGTTTACGTCCGCCTAATCAGATATCATATATCCAACACTCTTCGGGCATCAGAGTAAAAGGAGAAACTCAGAGTCGCCCTTTCAGCACCACGGACAGCGCCCTCCAGGCTCTTCTCATTGATTGGACACTCCCTATGGGATAGGTGGCGATAACGCTTGTTTGTTGTTATTGTGAAATACCCAAGCCAGAAAGAAAGAAAGAAAGAAAGAAAGAAAGAAAGAAGAAATGAAAACTTTGGAACAGAATGTGAAATAAAACTATTTCTTTGGTCTCAGAATTAATGTTTTGTCCATGATCTGCCACAAATAGAAATAGTTCTTTATGGTGTTCACACAAATGAAATAAAACTAAGAAATCTTTCTGTGACCAAGAAGAGACAGTATGTCTTCCACGTGACTGCACCTAACAAAAAGACACGTGATCATCCAAGCTTGTTTTTTTTCCCCTTGTAGGCTTTGTATTATTGCCTGTGTTAATGCAATGCTAAGTATTTGTTATATAAAGTTTTTGTAATGTAAAGTTCTGTTGTTTTCTCTTCAGTGCTTCTGACATACACAGTGTTTCTGCTTTTTTCTATAGTGTTCAATGAAAGACTTACTCGAATGTAAATTCATTTAAATACAGCCCATTTTCAGTTTAATCAGCTAATAAAATGTAAAGGAAAGTGAATGTAAAACACAGTGATTTTATGTATTATTTTTATGATGTATTCATTTATACAGGAAGGTACATATTGTATCTCAAAACACTCTGAGCAACTGGTAATTACATAATTCCTTACAGTCCTCCTGACAGAGGATTAGCTTCTTGAACATAAAAGATTGCAAATGTTCCCAGTTGTTGTTTTATTGTCTGTTGATTGACAGGACAACTGTTCAGCATGTAGACAAGTTTCTCAAGAACTACAGTTCCCACCATCTGCTAAACTGAAAGAGGTGCTGGAGTATCTGACTGAGAATGCTTCTCTGTAAGTACACGATTCCCATTAACTCTTCCTCACTGCAAATGAATGTTGATTTAATCTAATTAATAGGATTTTTTAGATTAGGAAGTTCCCAGCTATTAATGCAACACTGCAAAAGATGGAATTGACATGATTCTGTTTCTATGAATATATTATATGCTTGGATATTTATGGTAGGTTTTATAATCAATATTTTTAGACTGTTTGCTCATACCGTATAAAGCAAATCTGCATTGGTGATGTTTCCCATTTATCATCAACAAAATGCAAAACTGAAATTTTATTAATTCAGAAGTTCCCAGTTGTCAGAGATTGCCAGAATTATCTGTTCTGTTCAGCATGTTCTTGTTAATGGTTGGTTTGTGTGTGTGTGTGTGTGTGTGTGTGTGTGCTGAAGAGCTTGGGTTAGCTGATGGACAGGAGTTAGCTGTTGCTGATGTCACCACACCGTTAAGCTCAACTCCACATCAGAAACATGAGAGATTGAAAATGCTTAAAAATGTGTTTGTGTGTTTAAGGAGGAAAGGGACTGGACTAATGAAGAGTGTGTCCCACAGCTGCCACTCACAGAGATCAAGTACATATGCTAAAATCACACACACACACACACACACACACACACCTGTGCAGATTTGTGCTGTTAGAAAGCAGTTGTTAATCAAATGCATGCACAGATCACATGCACCCCCAAACATGCACACATACGATGCTGATTTTTATGGATCTATAATAACTCATTTATTGTAGTGTTTGTCAGTTTGTTTTCATGTTTGTTCTGTGTGTTTTTTTCCAGATTAGAGCTGCCTAAAATTGGAAAACCTGGGCGACTAAGAAAAAGAAAAAGAAGAAAAAGAAGAAAAAGAGGTTTTTGGAGAAAGCTTTGCTCATGCACTTACAGGTACACAGTAGGATCTGTTGGTGAAAAAGACTGATCTGGTTTGTTGTCCTGTGCATGTGCCCATATAACATATAGAAATGAAGATCAGATGAGTGTGGTCAGACTGAGTTGAGTCTAAATAAGTTAAATGTTGAGTGACAAAACACTGATTTCTGATTTCTGATTTTTCATTTTTGTCACATAGCAATGACATAGAGAGTGGAGAGGCCTCTTCAGGAATAGAGACCCAGGCGTAGGAAAGTAGAAGGTAATGAGTCACCAGATGACAATAAGGCCGGTGAGGGTAACCGCAAGACACCAAGGCCAGTGAGGGTCACCACAAGACACTGGGGCCAGTGAGGGTCACCACAAGACACCAGGGCCGGTGAGGGTCACCACCAGACTCTGGAGCCAGTGAGGTCACCACAAGACACCAGGGCCGGTGAGGGTCACCAAAAGACACCAGGGCCAGCGAGGGTCACCACAAGACAGTGGGGCCAGTGAGGGTCACCGCAAGACACCGGGGCCAGTGAGGGTCACCGCAAGACTCACTGGCCCCCGCAAGACACCGGGGCCAGTGAGGGTCACCACAAGACACCGGGGCCAGTGAGAGTCACCTCAAGACACCGGGGCCAGTGAGGGTCACCACAAGACACCGGGACCAGTGAGGTTCAATTTTGAAGACACAGACAAGATAGATGCTGATGTTGAGTCAGCTGACTCAATTAAAACTTGTCATCTTCAATAAATTTTGGAGTATATTTTTCATTATTTGTTCTGTACCCATTGTTTATTTTGTGTGTCCAGTCAGGTTGAATTTACAAAATTCTGCACTCAACTGACCGTTCACAAAGAGTTTGATTGACAGGCGATCTAAGCGATCAGAGTCAATCATAACTCCGAATCCACCATATTGTCCGGCAAACAAATCAGACAGGAGGGTAGATTAACTTCGGTGGACTTAAACTTGAAAAATGTTGTGTATTGACATCTTACCGTGGTTGAAATAAAATACGTTCTGATGTTTGTTCATGTTTATTTTGTGCTTTAAGGAAATACGTTCTGTTCACGTGTGTCGCTTGAACTGAGGTGCTACAGTGGTCTGTCACGACATTGAAGAGCCACAAAATGGTATTTCACGAGTTCACACTTACATATAATGAACAGAGTAAAGGTTATGCGTATTTGGCGTGCTGTCCGGGGAGAGGGCTCCGAGCTCGGTAATTACTCTCGAGCCCGGGGTGCTCCCCCTGTCCGGGGAGAGGGGTCCGAGCTCGGGTCTAAGCCCGGACCCAAAGCGCTCCCCCCGAGTGTTCCTCCCCGTGCTGGGGTAGGAACGGGCTGAAGGTGAGGAGTCGGGGTGGTGGAGGGATGCTGAAAGACTAGAGATAATGGAGGTAAGGCTGCTTTGATTATTTATAGAGGTGCTCTCTTGTGCTGATTGGATAGATGACATAATTACTGATGATGAACTGGCCGTGTTAATTATCTGCGCGTGCTCCTCCCGAAATTTGTTAATAAAACATCACTTCACGAGTTCACACTTACATATAATGAACAGAGTATGAAAAAAAGCTCCTGCGGGAGCGGGAACTGCTGTGGCATTGGGGAAATATGGAAGAGCTCCTGCGGGAGCGGGCACTGCTGCAGTGGGGAAATATGGAAAAAACTCCTGCGGGAGAGGGAACTGCTGTGGCGGTGGGGAAATATGAAAAAGCTCCTGCGGGAGCGGGCACTGCTGCGGCAGTGGGGGAATTGGGGCTATACTGACGTCAAAGGGGTTGGCCGATGAAGGTTCGGTGGGCTTCCTTGATGTGTGAGCGGTCCGATCGGATGTAGCTCTTGAAAGCTTCTGACGACCAGCGACCGAGTGCTTGTATCTGCTGCTGGGAGAGGCCTTTTTGGGCCACTGTGGTTGCTGCGCCAATTCGGAATGAATGGTTTGAAAAATTATCAGCTGGGGTACCGGATAGGAGTAGAATGGATTTAAGGTGCTTTTGAAACCAGAAACGAGTGACGGGGCGGTTGGAGTCATCTGTAAAAAGGGGGTCGGATGGGAGTTTGGACTGTGATTTCCTGAGCTGGACAAAGGCTAGGAGGGCTTGGTATGGTAGTATGGGTGATTGTAGCTTGAAAATAAAAATGAAATGGCCTTTCTTGGTCTGGTCTGTTTTACTTTGCTTAATGAAGTAAGAGATGGTTTCGTCATCCAGCACTGCTAGATCGGAGATAGTGGGGTGGATGTTTGGATTGAAGCTAGATGTGATAGCGAGCTCAGAGCATCTGAGAAAACCGAAGAAAGCCCTGCGGGATGATGCGCATCGCGAAATTTAGATGACCAAGAATGGATAGCAGCTCGCGTTTGGAGCAACTTGGGTTGTCTAAGAGGGTGGAAGCGACCAAGATCGTCCTATCAATTTTTTCCTTCGGCAGAGAAGCCTGGCATTTTTGAGAATCTAAGTTGATACCCAAAAATTCGATGGAGGTGCTCGGGCCCGCGGTTTTGTCTTGGGCGAGAGG